AGATCGAAATAGGGATCGAGCTCTCGAGCGTGGAAAAGATCGCAGCCCCGAGAGATCCTCAGATCGCGATTCACGAGGAAGGTCGCAAGATTCTGAAAGACAAGAACGACCGTACTCGTCACGGGTTCTCGATCGCGAGAGAGAAGCCGAACGATCGCGATCCTCCTCGAGATCGAAGGATCTATTGGATACCACTGAAGCATCCAGAAGACCCAACTCGTACGATCGAACAACCGAGAAGGCCACCACTACAACCACTTCTACCACAACAACTACGACGACTTGTTTACCAGAACAGCTTATTCGTAAACCTGAAGAAGACTCTAAAGACGCAGTGACCGATCGATCGGAAAAGCCATCTTATCCGGAACGACCAACTAGACCTATTCAGACTCAAAGTGGTCGTGTGGTGAGCGATACCGAGGATTATCACAGAAATTTGTCCGAGAATTCTCAGAGACCGTCTCAGCAAGTGGATTACCAAGATAGAGACCTAGAAGGTAGAAACGAACAGAATCATCAAATCGCGTATCCGGATGAATACTCTTCCGAGTATTACGACGAGCCATTGGAAGAGCCACCGTCTTCTCCTCCACCTCGAACCACCGTTCGAATCGTGAAGAGGCCTTTCCTACCGTCTCGAGGCGGTAATCCCAATCCGAGAGGATTATCACCGGTCGGCTCTAAAGCACCGCATTCGTCTAGAAGAGACGAAGAAACAACAACTGATCATCGAAGCACTTTAGGCGAGAATGACTATAGGAATTATTACGTGCAAGAGGAACAAGAAGATAATAGAAACTTTAATCATCAGGAACCACCTCTGCGATCGGATAATAAGCAGACGTATGACGCTTACAAAGCCGTTCAAAGCGATCTTCAGAAGAAACAACGTCAGGAAGAGTATGATAGTGCGATATCCAGACCGGCGCTACGAAAACCGATAGAGAAGAATAATGAGGAGGAAGTCTCGAGAGGATCTCCAGAAGATCTGTCGAACCCCTCCAAAGAATACTCCACTCAGAATCAGTCGTACGATTCGCGTAACCATCAAACCGAGAATCTAACGCCTAAATGGATAGAAAATTATTCGAGCGAAAAGCACGCGAATGTCGGCAATGTGCAGACATCCTCGGGTTCTCCGATTCGCAGCAAAGTGAGACTACCTTCCGTCGAGACCACGCCAAACATCTACAGCTCGACGTACAGAAACGAGGACACTCAGGAACTGCCATCGGGACCAGGTAGCTACAGGGCAAAGCAAAGAATCAACGAAGTAACGCATCGCCTTCAGGATATTCCCGAGAGCGAGTACGATGTTACTCTGAACGACGCCCTGACGCCGACGTTGGTTCAGGAAGCTAATTTGCCGAGCGGATTCGTTCTACCTCTTCACAGACAGCTCGGTAGAGACACCGTGTTACAACCTTCCGAGAACAACTACAAGCTCTCCAGGCCGATCAATCAGCAGCAGCAACAGCAGCATCAACAAAAATCGTTTATTCCGAATCAGTTCCTGCCGAGTATCAGTAATAACGATCGGAGTCGAGCGGTGTATTACAGGACGCCGGAGGGTGTACAGATCAGCGGAGCGCAATACAGACAGCAGAGACCGTGGCAAGATTATACGGCGTACTAACGAGATGTACACCGTAATGTATCAACTACGAGTATTACGAGGAAGTGTTTGAGATTTCACGAGGAAGTGAAGTTTGAGGCGTACATCTTGCTTCAACGAGACTAATTTATACTGCCACCGAACAACTTAGGAAAGACACTTTCATGGAAGAGAAACACTGCGTTCTTTTATGAAACTGGCTTTCCACGAACGAATCCATCGCGTTCGATTTTTAGCCCTGTTGCAATCAGATCAGTGTCTTTCATTCCAAAGAACGCGCGAAGCACTCGTCGCGCCGCTCTGAGGGTAGAAAATAATCTGCGGATGATTCAGTTAGATGTTAATAACTCGCGGGATTTCGAGATAAATTATTGCAAATTAAAAGATGAGAAAAAAAGATGAGATTATTGTCAATAGATTATTGTCGCGGAGTGGCACTACGCCACGCCTTTTGGAAAAGAAACTACAACCCGATAGTCAGACACAGAGAACAATGAGATATCAATCATCCTGATATTCATCGATACTTATTCACGCATACCGCGATGAAAAGCAAAGGCAGGATTAATGTTCAACGATATAACACCGATCGCAGATAACTCGTTCTGAGATCTTCGCTAGAGAAATTCTGAATAACTAGATCCACATAAAATAATGTAGCACTACACAAATGCTGCAGCATATGTCATATAATAAACTCGTTTTCCTTCTAAACTAGCAACGTGATGCAATAACAGAACTTAAAACGTGATACGTTCTAATAACAATGTAATTTGCGATATTAATGTCATTCACACATAAATCGTCATTGAAGTTTCAGGGGTGCTGAAAAAAAATCTCCATTTTTCTTAACTATAAACAAACTTGTAAATAATCGTGTAACTCTATATGCTATACACGTTCGTTAAATTGCGATTCAAAGTATGTGGTCTTCTATGAAAAAGAAATTATATATACATTAAGTTCTATCGTCGAATTCGATAGCTATTACTAGCGGATAAGTCTTCCTGAGCGTATATCTTGTCTTAAAGCTATGTCGATATATTTACGTATGATATAAAAGAGTGAGAAAATTATATACTTACGTGTTATTCATTGCCCCTCATTACATTTTGATGGCTGTAATATGCAAATATAGCAATAATACTTGAAAATGTTCAGTTGCAGAATTTTTTGAGATTTTTATTTTTATTTGTACTTTATAGTACAAATGACATAAATTACACAACGGAACATCTGCCTCTAATTATAAGAAATTCATAAATATTACAAGGTGAAGTAGAGAAATTCAGAAATCGCGTAAAGATAACTAAATATAACTTCGTACTAAAGTTTAAAGCGACAATTGTTTTCAAATGACTTTAAATAATGCTGCTTACACTGCCTGTTAATGTGCAAAATGTATACAGAATGTTTTTGAAAGATCTGAAATTTACTTTTTGTCATTAAAATATTTATTGTAAATTTAATTTCTAAATTAAATTGAATTGCAAATTAATTTTTTGAAAATTTATTATTGGTATCTTAAAAAGGTCAGAATTAAAAAATTTTTTTTTTCAAATATACCAACGTCAACTTTTTTATTCCTAAAAGTCAGTAGAATAAATTCTCAAAGTTTGGTCAGATTTTTCAGAAACGTTCTATATGAAGTAATAGAACTGTATCAAACATTGGTATCAGCAACAGTTATGTATTATTTACACGGAAAATATTTCATAATTAGATTATTCATTGTGCCGAGAAAATGCAATCGATCAACAACGAAAATTCAGTCATATAACATAAAATACATCACAGAGACATGATTGACAACTTAACGGAGCCACGAATACACAAATTGTTGTAAATATCTAGTTCTTTGAGATAAAAAGAAAGAAAACACTTGAACTATCTCGATAGAGAAGAAAGCGATATTCAACAAATATTTATTACAATTTTGTATAAACGTGGCTATAATAGTAACAGGATATTCAGTCATCAATATTAAAATGCACTGACGTAATAACAAATGAGCAGACAGTACTAGCCATACTTTGGATCGATAATAAATGTGAGTTGTCGCTGTATTAAAACTAATGCAATTATAGTAATTCGCCAGTACCACTCGCCGTTCTCAGATTTGTACTTGCGAATTATAAAAATATCAAATCTAGACGGCGACCAAAGTCACTACTATACATTGAACAGTTGCTACGATCTTTTCGGGTTCTAATGCATAGATTCTGTACAAAAATGATAGAGTACAAGAATAGGATACGTATATAATATATATAATTCTCGAAAGCTTATTTTATTAATCTTTTACGAGCTAAAGCTCGCATTTGTCATAAACGATATATAGATAATACATCTTCCAATCACAATTAGATTAAATTATTAGGAAGAAATTGTTGTTGGCAAGAGTATGCAGTCCCGAATATCGTATTTACAAATTTTATTATTTTACAGAAATGTCGAAGAAATTAAAAAACAAGACTTTTTTTGGTATAAATGCAATCGCTTCCAAATTTCCTGCAGTTTAAGTAAGTACTAATTTAGATCCACATAAAAATAATAAAAAGTTTATTTGGCATTCGTCCTAAATTTACATATCAGTAATGGATTAATAGAAAAAAATTGTATTATTTGTAAATCGCAAAAAATATTTATAGTAGTTATTAAATACCTAAATTTAAATATTCCTTTCAATGCTTAAATTTAATTATTATTATTATAGAGATCAAAAAATTAACCGTAATTTAAGAAAATTTAAAAGAGAATAATTTTGGCGTATTAATCACATTACTTCATCGAATATTATTTTAAAAGAGAATAGACGTAATCCTATTCACAATAATGACACAACATTTAATACAACTTTCCTAAATTCCAGCTATAGCGAGGATGGTGATAAAAAAAACGATCACCTGATTATTATACACCTATTAATAGTATATAAGATTTACTGACCAGCTTATTTTAATATCAATGTAAAAAATTATGCTCTCAGTGAATGCTTAGAATTATCATAAACATAGTCTATTATGCTTTATATTTCTTAATCAACCATCACATATAAATATAGATTCGGCAACTAGCGTGAGAGTAACAATGCTTTTACAACCTCGATGGATAAAGTAAACGTTACATTTTGCCAAAAAATATTTCATTTTTTGGAACTGCAAGCATACAATTATGCATGCAATTATACAATCATTATAATTATATAAAGTATATATATATATATAATATTTGTATGTCCTCGACATTAAGTTGACAATCAATGTTTAATAATGGCTGCGTTCAACAGAACATTTATTTTGTAACTGTTGAAAGTTTTCTTCGCGCTGATTGGATTATACTTTTTAGATCTAGAAGAATGATCCCATCTCAGCAGATCATAAAACGGTTGCAAAACTGTTGTGTTCTGCTAAACGCAGCCAATCTATCTTCGAATTAATGATAAAAGCATAATTACTCGCGCGAGTGCATCTTTACATTTGGCCTCGTAATTCATTTTTTTCTCCCGCCTCTTGTGCACCTAATAGATATATCCCTGCTGATACTTGCACGGAATTACGTGGTAACGATTCTTAAAGGAATCAAACAAGCGTCACCAACCGAATATATATATATGTGTGTGTATTCCCGTATCAAAGTCCACACTACAGCCTCGTAACTGTGTACATTCTATCAACACACAACCATACACTGCATCTATTCAAGTTTGATCGTTTGGTACGCGGCCTGTGCATCTCTATAATTCTCTCTTACATTTTATTTATCATTTTACGCTATCGGTGGATCATCGTCGTCATCGTCGTCTCTCGTGACTATGACATTGCCGTAACGATTGTGACGATACTGCCGAAATCGTTGTAGCCATTTGTATCGTCTCGCGCCGAAGTACAGTAGTACACCGACTACTATAAGGAAGGTGGGTATTAGCAGACCGGCGGCTACAGAGCTACCTAAATCAAATTGATTGAAAATTTAGTTCGCTGTTGACATTAACTACTGGTTAACTTTGAAGGTTGTTTTTTTCTTCCTGTTGTTTCTTTATCGTATCAGTGAACAAATAATAGGCAAGTTAAATAGTATTATCTAATCATGAGTTAAGACGCCATAAGGTGAGCGTAAGGCTGATTACATACATTCGGATATTGGATCTTATCTTCAAAAAATGATAAAAACGATAGTTCGAAGAACCAGTGTCCCTATTTTTTTTCCATGGTAAAGCTTACGATGAAGAACAAACAAACATTCAGCAGCGGATTACTGTGTTTTCCCGGTGTACACGTACCTCCTGACTCGGACCTCTGCTCTGGCTTGAGGGTGGTAACGTCGACATTTGCCATCGTGGATGTTGATACCCTAATGCATTCACCATCAACCAAATAAAAATCTCGTTGACAATCGCACATCTGTTTGCCATTGCTGGTTACACGGCACCTCTGATTTTTACCGCACTGCACGGTGAGATCCGAAATGTTACACGGTTTCAATGTGTGTGCATCGTCGTTGCTCTCTGAAAAGAATCGCCATCAATACTTTAATGGTAAATGAATCACCGAGTCGATTCAGAACGTCTAGCATTCTCTCAACTTGCATTCAGTAAACTCGCCAGATCTCCACTTAATATTGCAACGCATTGTTATAAGCATCGAACGAATTAAAAACAAAGTATTATTTTCGAAGGAACATTTATACGAAATATTTATAAAAACTTGCGGCAATTTCAAGAAATAATTACATTTATTGTTGAATATTTATGAGTATTATATTCTGTAATATACCAGTATGACAACATTGATATATCAGCGATATTAAAATAGTTCGGGAAATAAATATTTGCTGAGAAAACAACAAAGATATTACAAAAAAATAATAATTAATAGCACGAGTAGTCATGTTAAAACTGGGCGTAATCCAAAGTCAATAAAATTTCTGTATGCTTGTCTAGTCAATTAAAATATTTGCTGCCATTGTCTGATGGAACAATAAGAAATTCGCTTCGCTCCGCTCGTTCGTTGCTAAATAATGCTAATTCAATTCATAATCATATTAAAGCAACATAAATAATATACAAATATTGCATACCACTTCAAAATTATAATTGTTAAGATAACACTTAAATTTTAATCCAATTATAAACGTGACAATTTTGTGATAACAAATAAACAGGAAAAGAGAGTGAGACTTAAATTACATATTCTATTATTATACATTACATATTCTATTATTATTATAGATGACTCTCTGAGAATTTGAAAACAATTAATCATGCCGTCTATAAAAATAGTCATTGTTTCAGAACACAATAAAATATTATAAATAAATTCTGCATTAAATAAAGAGATTTCGTGAATTAAGCTGTCATTCGAAAGCTTTGTTCGAGACTTCCTGCAATCTTGAAGAGATAAAGTCACATAATTCAAGACAATACATGTACATCACATAAATATAAATCGATGATTACGTGCATCATGTGAGACTTAATCGAACGCGCTACGTTTCTTACCCGTTTCGTTATCGCCGTGTCGAACAATTCATTATCTCATCCAGAACAGAAGAGACACAAAGAGACACGAGGATGAATGGCATTTTCGTAACTCTATCGAGCCCGCGTGACGCATGATTGGCTGAATCAGTTAATAGAGATGAATTCGTTTTATCAACAGCATATATGAGGGGTTAACCGCACTGAGGCTGAGTCAAGCGTATTATGAGACTTATTTTTGATTTAAATAGCTGTTGTATTAATAGGTGTTATATTAATTCTATAACGTCGTCCTACGTGACTTCTCCCGTTGAAACATCACGGAAATGTACAAGTCATTACATAAATTGTCGTCAATAAAAAATAACGTGTGTTCATCATAAAAGAAATTTTATGTTGAAAAGAATTCCTCGTATATCAAGATTTTACCTTCGCGAATAAAATTAACATTACGCATCTCCGACTGTACGTACGGATTTTACAATGTCGACAATTTATGTCGCCCGATCGTAAAGCGCGTTGAATATAATCACGTAATTCAGACCAGCAGATTCGCCGTCGGTGTAAAATTTCAACGGTTTCAGTATTCCGAGATATCATGTTCGATCCATTTATTATATTCTCGCGGCATACAATACGGATCACTTTTCCGCGATAACGTCGTAAAATCGGATCGTTCAAGTGAACAAAGAGTCTGTTCATCTTCACTTTCATGAAGTCTCACAGCAGGCAATTCGCCGTTAAATCGTATCAGAATCGAAGGAGAATTCCATTCAAAAGGACATTCCTATCGCGAGTTAAGGTTGCAAAATACCATTCATCCTCGTGTCTCTTTGTGTCTCTTCTGTTCTGAATGAGATAATGAATTGTTCGACGGCGATAACGAGACGGATAAGAAACGTAGCGCGTTCGATTAAGTCTCACATGATGCACGTAATCATCGATTTATATTTATGTGATGTACATGTCGTATTGTCTTGGATTATCTTCTTCTCGATAATATAAAATCAAAATAATATCTATGAAGAGAATAAAAGGTATAAGCATCGCGAATAAACAATTGTACAGCAGGAATGATTTTATTAAAGTATCTAAAAATTTCACTAGATACAAATCTAAAAAGAATTAATAACAATAATAATAATAACTTTATCCAATGCAAATAATAAAGAGACATATCGAATAACATATACAATATATATATGCAATATAAATACAATACTAATTGCAGACAAAAGACGAGGCTGCAGCTAAATGCTGATTAAATTCCCTGAATAATATATTCACCAGTATAATTAATTAATTAATTAATATAAACAGTAAGCAGAAGATACAAATATCTGCAATATAAATTATACATTTGAAAATGAAGAATTAAACAGAAAAGAACTTTAGATTATCGAGATTTAATTATATGGATCAAACTGGTTACTGGAATAGCTAGAAGATTAAAAATTTGTTGTGGCGTTGTCAACGTTTAAACGTTCTACATAATTATTTTGATAATCCAATAAAATTATTTTCAGATCTATATCTAGCTAAATTTTTAGGTATGCCAGTAAAATCGTTCTTAATCTAACAATAAGATCGAAGCAGCTCTAAATAATTCTCGTCTGGATAATAATAGCGAATATATTATTATAAAATCTAGATAAATAAAAATGTTGCTTGTTACATAAAAGATGGCATTAAATTGACAAGAAGAAGAACCGTGACTGACATTTGCCGATATTTATAGTATATAGACAGCTGTCAGTACCTTGAATTATTGAAAAACATTGCAATCAATGAAATATTCTGATAACAACGACGCGAAATCGATGTAATTCCGCAAACTTTGTCTGTGTGAATAAAAGATATGTAATCGGTGCGCTGTTATCGCTACCGTGAATTTTAAATAATATCGATTGATACGGCAAAAGAATATGCTAAAAATGCGATAAAAAGTATAGAGCAGGTCCCGAGACACAGATTCAATATTCTCGGAGTGAAAACTTACATTATACGATGATACCCATAAAACTAAATGTTACTCGAAAAGAAAGCTACAGGAATATACTCTTCGCGTGTCTTCGCTCAATTTCGCATCGACTATCCAATTTCATCCGACCGAGTTTCGCCACATAAACGCGAATTCACCGAAAGATTTCACGTGTATGCGTAGTCCTTGCCGACTCTTTTTGTTTATTATTTATGAACTGAAAGAATATCCGTCTAATGCCCAATTTCTTCACTTCCAGACAGGGTTGGCAAAGGTCCACATTTTTTGGATAAAGTCCATGCCAGTGGTAAAAACCGGTATTTTCCGGAAAAAACCGGCAAAAAACCTGGTCTTTTCTATTAAAAATAATCAAATAAATATAGATTTAATTATTTTGAGTAAAAACACATTAAGAGGAAGACCCTGTATGGGCTTGCTTTGAATCTTGTACAGTTGACAACATTATTAAGCAGAAATGTATTGCTTGTGGAACATTAGTTAGTGGAAAAGCTCCACGACTGAAACAACATCTTCAAAAGTGTAGTAAGTTTGAAAAGAACGATGATGACAATTCAAGTAAAAGTGAATCAGACAGGAAGAGTGAAATGAATAAATTAAGTAAAAGAAGAGAGATGCATCGATACCAAATCACCTTCATGTTCTTATATTTTAAAGCAGCAGTTTTATAGTTTTTACCAGTTTATTATTCCAGTGGATAAACTCCGGACCGGTAAAATCCGGAATTTACCCTGGTTTTTTCCATCTACTGGATTTTTCCTGCCAACCCTGCTTCCAGATAAGTTACGGATAACCTTATCCAGGAGATATCTCCATTGTATTCTGGGAGATATCTCTTGGATAAAGTTATCTAGAGGTGAAGAAATTGGGCATAACACAGCGTAAGTCTTCACTTGGAATTTTCCGAAGTGTACTTTATACATAGAACATCCTTTTAAGAAAATTGGTTAGGGAAGAAGATGGAAGAAGAGATATGAGAGGAACGCATAAAACGTTGGTATATATATATCGAGAGTCTGGTATCGCCAAGTAAACTTATTTTCGACCCACGATTGTATACAAGGTGTTCCGTTTTATTAACTGTGTATATTATTCCGTTATCGTTATACGAATGCATGGACAACCCGCCACGTGCAGTACACGTGTAACTCTCCAATAAACAAATGTGCAATGAAAGTACGAGCGAAGTAGGTGTAGGTAATCGCGCGTTTTCTCGCCCACTGAGGATGCTAAAATACGCTCCGGAACGATATTCATGAGATATTCACATGCGAATACCGTTCTGCCGGTTTTCTTTTCGACGAATTCTTCGCGCGCGCGTGCTTATATAACCTGCCGGTTATTTAAATTAATATGGAGCCGTTTCAACGGTGGAACGGTGGGCATGAAGCTCGTAGGATCATCGAGCCGTCTCGTTTTCATTCGTGGTGCGGTACGATCGACATAGATATACGACCAATAAAAACAGACAGCGAATGAAACAACGTCAAACATCCACGTCGTTAAAGCCAATTACGACGAATACGTGCGACTGCGTACCGATAAATCGTTGCAGGTCGGAAAATCTCTACTGGCGAAAATAGTTTTTCGAGATAAACGGACCTCGTCGTCGACAAGTCACGGTACTCAGATATGTTTGTCTTTAAAAGAATAGATGGGATGACAACAGACATTCCAGATATAGTTTTTTTTAAACCTTGTCTGTAAAAAGAAAATACAACGTATTTCTCAGAGATACCCCAGAAGTTTTAAAATTCATTATCTTTATGAGTGTGGAAACGTTCAAAGTTAAGGTTTATATTTTTAGTATTAAGAAAAATTGCGCTAATTGATAACCAGCCCCGACTCCTATTGCCTGTAATATATTTTTTATGGTTTCATTAATTCTTTTAATTAAAGGAGTCCTTAAAAACTTATTAGTTTTTATTAATTTGTAATTTATCATTATTATCTTTATTCCATTTATCTTATAATGCTATAATTACTCTGAAAAAAAGTTTGGTAATAGCTACCGAGTGTTTGGTGAAATGCCAATAAGGTTTAGATGTTTTGTTTATATAATCAAAAATATTTAGGGAAAGTAAAAATTATTTTTGGCTATATTGATCAAACATTTAATTGACATCATTTTACTAAACATTCGGCAGCTATTATCAAACTCTTTTTCAGTGTAATGTTAACATAATACTCAATATAATATACAAATAACAATAACATAAAATTCAAATAAAAAATATAACTGCAGAATTAAACAATAAGCCGAAAACAAAAATTCAAAAGATTACAAATCAACTAATAAAACACAGGATTACGAGTTAAAGCACATTCTTTAATAATAAATTAATATATAATAAAATTCAAATGTACTAAACAAACATGAGAACATAATGTTAGATCAAAATGTGAGATCATAATGTTAGGTTTGTTTAATACATGAATTTTGTTATATATTAATTTAGTACTAAAAACCCTGCTTGTAACTCCTTGTTTCATTAGTCGGTTTATAAAATTAAATTGTTTGGGATGTTTTTGAATAGCGCTGACTTATCACTTGTATTCATATCTTTAAATCTACTTACTTAAAGATTAAGAATATAGAAATTCAAAAATGCTGTTTCCTTCAGGAATTTAAGAAACATTGGCAGTAAGAAAAAACCACCAAAAGCAATCAAGTAGAAATCTCAAAACGATGATACGAAATGCAAAAATAAATGTATCGTGACATTATTTTGTCAACTACGTGACCTTTCCAAAACTTTCAAAGTGAATCTTACTCTGAAGAATAAAGTGGAATTTAACTCTTAAAGATCGAAACTTGAGCTACTCTTTTTCAAGATTAGCTCAATTTTCATTCTTTAGAGTAAGATTCCATTCCAAAGAATTGAAAGAGTATATATAAGAGATAAAAATATCCAGCAGAAATTAATTAGCAACAAAAAGCACGTAATTCAACATTGCATAATAAACTGACAAGGCGTCAAATTAACAGACTAATTGCGTCACGGTTCGATTTCTACCCCGAAGCAATCGACGATTATGTCACGCAATAAAAAAAAAAAGGAAGTACATCGGTATGGATGCGCAGATCCATAAATCCGCGGTAAAATAAAAAATATGTCCTTAAAGAGGCATGTTTATCGCAAATGAGTTCCTCGCGCGCGCTTTGACGTCATAATTATCCGGGGAAAAACGGCGGGGTCCTAGCAACTAAGCATTTCAAATTTGCTTTCGCAATAAACTGAATGCAATGTAAAAATGCGAGAGACGATAAATCAGCGAGCGAAGAAAAATACTTCAATGGAAACGTCGAGACGCGAGGCGGATATATATATACATATGTGTATATATATATATATATACACATGTTTATTTGGCATTCAATAGACAGAGGCAATATGAAGAGTGATGTAATTTGTTCGTTATTTTAATGTGATTTTATTTGCAAAAAAATATGGTGATTGCGTCAATAGAGAAAGCGCGGGCGAAATTTCCATCGAGCTCCGTTTTTTCGGAGCAACTCGATACCTTTTAACTCGATCCTCGGTAGTATTGATGCATCAATTATTTGCATTTTTATCATATTGCGCATACAGTCGACAGATCGTACAACGTGATATTGTTCAACTATCGCCGGTAGTATTTCCTGCATTTCTGCGAAGCGCAAAAACCGTATCTCGTGCATAAAAATCACAATATTTAAAGATAAAATCGAATATAAAAGTAAAAATCAACGTCGATTATACTCTTTAAAACCTTTAGAGTGAATCTCACTAATAAAACCACACTCATACCGAAAAAACGCACCCGAGTGAAGAGAAAGTCGGAATGACTTTATTTAGACGTCATAAAAGTCAAAATGATGACTTTGTTATTACAAAATTTGACTATTTACTGACTGTTTATTGACGTTAAGAATCAAAATAAAGCCATTTTAACTTTCTATTGACTTTTATGTGTTCCTTAGATGAAGATTGAAAACCGAGCCACTCGTTTACTGAGACTGGCTCAATTTTCACTCCGTGAAATCTTACTCCGCTCCGAAGAATTTAGAGAGTACCCGGGATAAATTTCGGCGGAATATCTCTCGCCATGAAAAGCGCATTTTTGACGCATCGTTTTCGGCGTGGAATCGCCGGAAGTGCAGGAACGAGAGCGCACAAGGGTCACACGTGTTGCGGGTTGATCTGGTTGCTACGATTCCGCGTAGCAGCTGAGGGTGCTCAGAGACGACCCGTGATTTCGAGAAGGAACGACGGAGACGGAGGGATCGAGAGGCACAGAGAAAGAAAGAGAAGGAGAGAGAAAGAGCGGAAGAAGACCATTGTGGTTAAGCTGGGGTGACTGCGACGGCTCGCTCGGACGAACCAATTTCGCTCGGGCTTTAATTTACCAGCCAGACAGCGGGCCTGGCACGATATACTCTCTCTTTCTCTCTCTCTCTCTCTCTCTCTCTCTCACACACACACATTCTCTCTCTCGCTTCCTCTCTTTCTGCCTTGGCCGCTCCACGATGTATACTCTCGAGAATAAATCCAATGTGCGAATACTCACCTGCACGACCGAGCGTGGACAGAACGGCGAGAGTCGCCACGATGAGATAGCAGAAAACGTCGGTGCTCCGCATTTTCCTACAGCTTTCTTCCTGTCGTCTGCCTCGTTATGCCGTCGTGAACCCGCGCGCCTAACCCGCAATCACATAATAATAAACGTACGCGTCGGTTATTCAAAGGTCGCCCGCTCCGCACGCTCGTCTCTCGCGCGTCCCGCCTTCTCTGTCGCTCTCTCGCTCTCCCGCCGCGTCGTCGCCGCCGTCGGTCGTGTGTCGACTGTCGTCGTCCCCGTCGCCCGCCGTCGTTACCGGAGCCGGGAAAAGTAAAGAGCTTCGCCCTCGGAGCCTCCGCAGATCCACGTCTGGCCGGTACAACGGTCAACGGACGCGCGTCAGCGTCAGCCGGCGGCGCATCACAACGTTTCGTCGGCCGGCCGCCACCGCTTTTGACAGATAAATGCCACGCCGCCGCGCCGCCGAACGCGTTCAATCATCTGTTATTAAACGACCATTTGCAATTATCGAAGCCAATTGGACCGTCGAGAAGTCGCCCCCGTTACGGTCGAACGATCTCGCGCTCGAGACCTCGCGACTCTCGACCCTTCGATATCTCGAACCGGGCAGGACGAACTTTGCGGCAATTTCGAAATTTCTCTCTTCTTCGATCTATCTTTAGCGTTCATTAGACGTAAAATAAGGGTAAAATGCCACATTTTAAGTTTTTTTTTAGTCTGACTTTTTAGTTTTTTAATAATAATGTAAAAGTTTCTAGTTATAAGCCTATTTATAAGCCTAATATAGCTAAATTAAGCAAAATTTTTTATTTCTTGGTTTTGTGATTAGATTTATTACAATCTGATGATAATATAAAAATTGAGTAGGTAAAAACGTATAATTATCTTAAAAACCTTGTTTTACAAAAAGGAAAAAAAAGTATCGCTCAGAATTCTTAAAAGATTAATTTATTATTAATATATTTTTACATTACTCTGTTTGATAAAATATATAATGTAAATTTAATTGTATAAATGCTATTGTGTACAAAATGTAACCATAAAGATAAAATTTGTTTGAGGTGTTTTAACACCCCTGCCTACTTAAAAGTTAATACCCCAATACATGATGTGCGTAAATATACATACACACGTCTATGAATATTTTAAAAGCTTAAAAGCATTTTAGAAGCTTAACATTCCCTCTTTTATTTTTTAAAGCCGATAGAGGCTGTGGTCAAAGTCTCGCTATAAATGCTTTGAAGCATTTGATGGACCAATCGGAAGAAAGAATTTTACAAGTTGACTAATCAAAAAACGCTTTAAACCATTTGTAGCATCACATTTACCATCCCCAAAGAGAGACAGAAAGGGAGAGAGTTAGCCTCGCTTAAAATTAAAGCAACGTTGGTGCAATCTCGAGGAAAATGGAGGAAATTGTCACGTGACCGTGCAGTGACGTTTTCACGCATGCGTATGAAAAGTCCCGCCGGAAAAATCCACCTCGTAATCTAACATCTTCGTCTCAGCTCCATCTTCAATATTTCCATCCCCATCTTTGGCTTCGTGACGTGACGACGACAATGCACGACAACAGCGGCACGTGGTGTCATGGCGAACATAGTTGTTAGAAACACTGCTAACCGAATGCCCCACGTCGCCTGATCACGAGATCTCTGACTGGAAGAGTTGACTTAAAAGCGCAGCAATGAAGGAGGATTCCGTGCTGAGCTTCAAATGGCAGAGCTTCCCGTCGCACATGGTGGGCTCGCTCGACACTTGTTACGAGAAACAGCAATTCGTCGATCTCTCCCTGGCGTGTAAAGACGGTACAATTCTCAAATGTCACAAGATGGTACTGGCTAATTCGAGCTCCTTCTTCCGCCGATTGCTCCTGGCCAATGATCATCCACATCCGATGATCGTCCTGCATGACATCGAGGCAGACGATCTCAAGACTCTCGTGAATTTCATGTATTGTGGTGAAATACAGGTAGTTCAGAGCGAGGTTAGGAGACTGTTAAAACTCGCCGAAACTCTGGAGGTCACTGGACTTCGTCACATCCCACCATCGCTGCTGTCTGAAGGTTCCAACAACAAGGAGCACGACGTGTTGAAGAAGACGACGACGGTGTCGCGATTGAAGCTGGAGGAAGCCAAGAACTCACCTGGTAGAAGCAGCGTCAGCTCAGAACATGAGACGAGCACACAGAGCACGAAAACACAGAGTAAAACGACTCCACAGACGAGGTTTGTTCCAAAGACGAATCCTTACAAAACTACAGCCAAAGTTCCTCAGGAAACGCCGAAGAACGAAGAGATTAATATAAGCGAGTTGTGTCAACGGCTAGAGACTAGCAATTCCGGTATCAGTATTATAGACATTAACGAGCCAAGTACAAGTAGAGGAGTGCGAAGAGTGTCTCCAATGCGAAAGAGAAAAGATTTTCCGACGCATCCCGAGATCAGTTGGCAAACTGTATTATCCACAATAAACAAACCCTTATCTTTTCAGAAAGTGCGTTGTATTATGGACGAAGTGGAAATTACAGCGAGAAAGCCATCTACTTCTGTGTCAGACAATAAAATAAACGAACCTTTAGATAGAAGAAAAGTTAAAAAACATTCGAGTGAAGATAACAATTTAAGTACAGTTTACATAAAGGACGAAATCGACATATCTTCCGACATGGAAGAAGATGTTGACATGGATCCTTTAGAAGTTGATGAAATTGACAATGATAATTCGGAAAGCAGTAAAACCACGCAACAGTTTTATTCTCAGATATTGGTCCATTCATTAAATAAGAACACTCATCATAAAGAGTTTCCACCTAGAAAAGATTCAAACAGTTAATGTGATTAAGATTCATCAATCGATAAAGAAATGTACATAAGTATTGTTGCATGTTCTCACATATTACACTTTGATATTCATATACATGATATTTGAAGTTTCAGACTGCTATATATACAGTAATTAATCATCGTTTCCTCAATGTTTACGTTGCATGATATTGCTGTTTTATAATAAAGCTGTGCAATTCCTAACTTATTTTAAAATCTATGTGTACGATTAAAATTATTCTTTAATATAAATTTTATTTATGCAATAATTTAATTGATAATAGATACATTATGACTGAGTTGTTTCACCTTTTGATAAATTTCAACTCACTCGTCTCTCGCTCTCGTCGTCTCTGTCTTTCGCTCTTTCTTTTATTCATTAAATAAATTTTCACAAAGTTGTCAATTTATCCGAAGGTGGAATAACTATCCCTTAGATTTATATATACATAATATAACAGACTGCTTTCTTTTTAAGAAACATAAATCCACTCAAATTAACACTCGCAGAACAATTTGTCACAATTAATGGACCACCATATATGCAGTGTGTGAATTTTTAATACCTAACTTTACAAAATTTATAACGAAGGCCGGAGTATAGACCTTCGTTTATTGTATGTATAATATACAAGAAAGTGAACTAATAAAAATTTTCCATTTCTTTTCTTTCTATGAAATAAAAAATTCTGATTAGCTGATTCTATTATGCATTATGCATTATGCAAGATTTTGTGCTCCCGCATTTAGTTTCAAATTTTTCAAACGGTGCTTTCCAAATTATTGGTGTTTTCCAGCAAGAGACATACACTGTTAAAAAAACAGAATTAGAAATAATTAGCTGCGTTCAGCAGAGAAAGCAGTTTTGCAACTGTTGTAAAATTCTTTAATATGATTGGTCTTGTCCTTAGAATGAGCTGATTTGCGGATGCGTTCTGATATCACTCAAAATGACATTTGAACACACTTCACTCTCCTCGCCAACAGAGTCGAAAAGTGTGATTGAATTTAAAATTATAAATAAATAGAAAACGACGTGTGTTGACTTATGTCAAAAGTGTCAATTAAAGAGAAAGCAGCCATAGTAGATATGTAGCGTAACAAACCATAGCAACTCTGTTATATAGCGGTTTCCTTGGAAGCAAACTTCTCCTTATAGCGTATACGAAAGGTTTTTGCAATTGTTCCTACGATTTTACATAAAAAATGAATATGAATATGAAGAATAAAGTAAATTGTGATAAAACAGAACAGGCAAATGATATTGTTAATAAATTAAACCCTGATAGACATGTAACAGAAGAAGAGTTTCAAAATTTCATGCATCGTGTCACTGAAGTGGGTGAGTATGACACGCGATTATATTGCAAATTTACTTGTATCAATAAAATTTTTCATTCAAGAAAAAATCGTAAAGAAATTAGCATCTTCCGATCAACAAGAGCAAGAATGCGGGAAAAAGTTAGCCGATGAAATGTTAAAACAAGGTGTTCAAAAAGAAGTCTATGGAGATGGCGAGGTAAAAGTTAAAACTGATCGATCAGTAATTAATAAATATCCGTCAAAGGAACATGATTCAAACAATGATCCGAACCAAATGGCGCGAGGTACATTTATACATTTATTGTATTATGCTATTTTATCTATTCGGCGAGAAGTAATAAATTATAAATTGACGCGATTTATATAAACAGAGGCATTCATGAAGAGTGTGGAAAACGACGCTAAAAAACGAGCTGAAGAACGCAAGATTAAAAATGAACGGGCAGAAACGTTAAAGAGAATTGCGAACGGTGCATTTAAAGAAGGCGATTACGAGAAGGCCGTGACTTATTATAGCAAAGCATTGGAACACCGTAAAGACTCTTCTGTATTATGGAATAATCGCGCGTTATCATATATGAATCTTGGATTATTCGAAAAAGCTTTGCACGACTGCGAGTGGACGTTAAAACTGAATGACTCAAATTTAAAAGCTCTTTTGTATAGCGCTAAATGTTATATGTATCTCAGAAATAGGGAAAAGAGTAAAGAATGTATACGGATGGCCAAAGAAAAGAATCCTCATTTCAACAAATTTATCGATGGTATTATTAAATATTTTAATCTTACACACACATCGCCTTTTTTATGTAATAACAATTTATTTTATATTTTGCAGAATTTCAAGAAAATATAGAGCTTCAATTTAACAAATCCAACGCTCAAATAATCAATGATGAAATATAGTAGCTTCTTTCTCCGGAGAAATAACATAATCTTATATAATACATCATCTTATATAATACATATAAATTAATATAATAAATTAACAATATAAAAATGCTTAGTATCAGTATATATTTTCTTTGTGATTGCCTAGATATTCTGAATAATATCAAGATTGCTCTATATTTGTTGCATTACCTTCTTTAACTTCTGATAGAGATCGTGGTTCGTGTAAAAAAACTGTACACTCAATGCCCTAAAAAAATAAAATATAATATTATTCACACACACACACACACACACACACATTATCAGTGATATAAACCTGACAGTAAAACAATTTTATATGCTGAATATAATTACCTGCATGCGCGCCGCTCTTACAAATCCTTCATTAGCAGAAACTGTAATGCTTTTCATACTTTCGCCCGTTGCAAAAATCAGTCGCGATCGATCTTTAATTTTACCGCCTAAGCGGAGTTCCATAATTCGTCCAGTGGTAACATCGTCAACGATTCGAACTTTCTTTAACAATTCTTGAGCACGCTGCGTTTCATTCGGACCACCGATAACATC